TGCTGACGTAGTACACAACTTTTATCTTGTGAAGGTAAACTTTCCCTTCTTTAAGGACAACTCAAAATAGAGCAGAAGGAAGCAATTGATGAAGCCACAATTTTTAGTCACAATTTTTGCGATCAGTTAGAAGTTATGCTGAGATTTACCTTGTAATCCGACTGCCCTGGACATCATCAGGAAGAAAATTATCAGAAAAACACAGATACAAACGCAATGCATGTCAAAAAACACAACTTCAAAAATTTACTTGTGTTCTAAACTGAATGCAGAGCCGGATCTGACAAGCTTTTCAAACCAACATTAAATCTGATCTATGGTTTATTTTTTTTTGTTAAGAGAGCTTCTTTTGTCACCCATAGCCAATAGGAATTCATCTGTTGCCAATTACGACCCACCTGAATTGTGTCAAAACGGCCGCCCGTTGTTTGTTCACAGCCGGTGAAGTATGGTTTTATTACTTTGCTAATGACTACACACCTGCCTTTCTGTTCCACTTCTTTTAAAAAAAACCTTCCTCGGAACTTGCCCCGTCACCGAGTATTTCTGCTTGGTTTAAACGCAACATACTTGATCGTTACTTACGTGATCTTGCGGTGCATTTAAAACACTAGTCTCCAGCTGTCCTAATTGTCGAAGCCGGAAGGTTTCTGCTGGAAGAAAAAAAGGAACATTTACAAAATTTTAAAAACAAGCAAACACGTTATATATCAGCCCACGTTTAGTGTAAAAGCTACTCTATTCATAAGAATAATACCAATGTAATTGAAAAAGGACATTTTGGAATTATCGCACAAGACGAACACTAATAAAGAGGATAATAACTATAAACCTTTCACTACTCTATGCTCCAATATTTTGAAGTTTGATGCTATCTTCATCTTTGTTCTTTGTTTTTTTCTTCCGTTGGTTGGCAGATATTTTCCATCTCACGTATTTTCGCATCAGCTTTTAAAGCCTGGAGGCTGAAAGCGTACTTTATAAAGAAACGCATTTGAAGCTTCGACTGAGCGAAAATCGGACTAACTCAGTGTAGATTCTTCCTCGAACAATTCTTGCCAGGTTCAGAGAACTTTTTTCGAGAGATTTTCATAATCTCATATTATCTTATGGGTGTTACTGACTAACTACATTGGTGCTTTTCATCGGTGCACATCAAGTCAATGTAACATCCCATCCATTACTGCGAAACTTGGATAAGAATTAAGTCATATCGAACGCGATTAACAATATCATCCAAGTTGCTAATGGAGATGTATACTTGAGTGCTAACTGCAAATTTTCTCCCTCAAACCTTCGCTTATCGTTTAAATTTTTATGGCAGCTGCGTTACGTCTCTGAACCTGCTTTATATGACAGAGCTAAACAAAAAAGACCGAAATCCCATCAGAATGCCACCGATAATTGTGTCTGATCAATCACTGAAAAAGGTATTTCATGTTATATGTGGTGATATTTCTTGTTACCTTGAAGTCAGTTCATGACTGAATTTGTCGACTTTCATGCCACAAATGCGATATCAAGGTTACAAATTGATTCCGATATGTAATTTACACCTTGGTCTATTTTTAGTCCATAGGAAGGTCAGCTCAATATAAACGAAAAAAGTTATTTCAATAAAGCACGATACGAAGACAGTGTCTAATGCATTGTGGTTTCAAATGGCGTCCCTAAC